AAAACCAAATTTAATACCCCGGCTTTGAAAAATCCAAATAAAAACTATTATTTAAATCCCTGATGTCCCGCGATACTAAAGGAAAGAAATTCGCTAAATAACGGTGAACCGGATTTGTGCGATTGTGATGTGCCTGTGTGGTTCAGTGGTAAACACATTCCCGTAAGCGAATAGACCGAGTTCAATTCTTGGCAGGAACGAAAATGTTTTTAATATGTCTTTTCCAGAAGACACATCAAAGCGACTTCAAAAGAGTCGCTAGACTACAACTAAATGGGATCCGACTAACATCTATGCATCCGCAAATGATTGCACTTTTTAATCGTACAACAATCCGTCAGTCCTTCTTGTTCTGTTCTGTTTCATTTTTTTTGTACACCATATCATAGTTATCAAATAAAGCTTATATCACTCTAGCTACAGGAAAATATCAGTAGTAGTCGAATTTAGCATCAATGAAAAAGCAGCAACGAATTTTGTAGGAAGAAACAATAGGATCGGAACTGTCGAAATGTTATGGAAAAAGGTGGCATTCCTGTTAAATGTACAAAGGTTTTAGGTTAAAGGGATTACGCCTATATGGTTGGTTTCTCTACACCGCCCCAGGCAGGGTGTTCCTATATGATACGATTCGTCAGGTCGCCAGCCGTGGAAAGTACGTTTAGAAAATGACTTTATGGGTATTGTTAGAGATAAAAAAACAGTGAATAGATTAAAATGTCGCAGCTGTCAGTAGTCTTGAAAAATAATTTATATTTTTTTTAATATTTTTTTTTGTCTTAAAATTAAGCGCGTTGTAAGTGCATGGCGCATGTATGCATTGTGAATTTTCCAGTGCTCTATATATAGGGTGTCCGTAAAGTCCTTAGAGTTAGAAAATGTTCAATGTTTTCGTCATTCTTTACCCAAATGAGCCGATTTTTTTTCTGAGTATAGTAGGCGGATAGAAGTCTATTCATCATCTGTGTCTGTCTATTCATCACAAAACAGACCATTGGTGCGACTTGCACACATCTTGAAAAATTATAAATGAAATGAATAATGTTATGTGCTCTTCCATCACGTAGATCATTTTCTTATCTTATCTTCTTTTCTCGAGGTTTTATTCTTTTCTTTTCCTACTTAGATCCATTTACTTCGCTTATATGTATGCATGCACACGCACATATCTATGTATTAGTATACTCGTTAAATGCAGGAAAAGAAAAAAGTAAGAAAATGGTCAGGTTCAACGAGTGGTTTACGTTTTGTACAAAATAAGACGTCTTCGTAGCGAATTACTTATTTCATTAAGGAAAGTTTCCTGGCTTTACGTTCATAAATGGTCTGTCTGCATTGAATAAACACTTCTATTTACAATCCACATTCAGAAAAAAATCAGCTCATTTGGGTAAAGAATAAAGAAAATATTGAACATTTTCTAACTCTAAGGACTTTACGGACACCCTATATACTGAGAGCATGTCCGAGGTGTCAGACTGCTGTAATCGGATGGAGAATGCATAATTAATGAGAGCAGTAAGTGTATAAATCGAGCCATCTGCGATATAACTTATTTACCAAATAGTGGAAGTGCATAGATATTTACCTTTTTATACACATGAGAATCTGGGAATTTTTGAGAGTTCATACCTAGTTTTTCGAAGCATAAGTGCTACCCCTAGTCAACTTTTTTCGAAAACTGTCCGAAGAGTCCCCAAAAATGTATATTCCCCGAGGAGTCTGACAACTTTCCATCCAGCTTTTTGTTTTGCGAACAGCCATACATAAATATACCACTGTTGTGTGCATAAATTCGTTCGAATTTTCTCCTAGTGAATTATCATCATTGTGACAGCTGGTGTTAGCTGACGTGTACCAAACTGGTACCAGTGATAGGACGTAGCGCATTAATTATAATCAATTATATGAAATTTAAGTACCGAAGGATTTTATCAGGTGTCGACTAGGATATTTTCTATCCTTTAACAGCCACTACGTTGTTTAATTCGATAGATTCCGATAAATTAGCGGCACACAAGGCGTCAGCGATCTGGTGAGATCTAAAAAAATTGAAAAACATGATTTTGATCAAGACTTTCTACAAAAAAGTAATATTATAATATATTTTATAATATATTTTTGTAGATTTCTCATAAGACATAGGATAGACTAAATAATGTACATCCTGAAATTCTTTGAGTTGCAAATTCTTTAGTAGTAGAGAAAAGCAAACTGGAAGCTCTCCACTTTTCGTTTCAATCAGGTTTTGAAATTTTATTCGAAAACAAACATTACCAAAAGATTTAGCATGGCCGATTACGTATGTACCATGCGATTTCAAGCATATTCCGAGTCATTCAGAAGCAGTCATGCGACTCCAAGGAAAGCAATATCGCGACAGAATCACTGGAAATCAAGGTCTCGCTTGACTCGTATTTTGAAGTGGATAGTGTGGACTATATATCCATGTATAAGCATCAAAATATTCATACGTAATTTTGTCCACCTATGAGCTTGCTTTTCCGATATCTTACTTTAGAATAATATTATTGAACTAATGCTTCTCACGAAAAGGTGATTGAAAACCTTTTCTGTTAAATGTTGAAGTCCGAACTCTCTGGCTATTTTCATTTCCGAGGTATTCAACACGTAAAGGAGAGCACTGTTATTGTTTTATTTTCTACAACCAAACACATTTAACCAGCCTTCATTTCTTGCTTCCCATCATCTTTTACGACAAGAGAATCGTGTGTACAAATTTCACCGTTAATATGAAAGAAAAGCGAGCCCATTTTACAACGCTTCATTTTCCTTTTTCTCATTTTGAAGAAAATGACAATACTTATTAATTTTGTAATAAATACATTTTCATTCGTTTTTATTGAGCATCTGTGTTTTTTCATCATTTGGCAAACATATAAAAAAGCCATCTTTCAAAAAAAAAGTAAAAATAAAACATAACCTTGATTTTTATCAAAATTCATTTCAGAGTCAGATAACCAAAAAAGAGAAGTTAATACACAACAAAGTAAAGAATGTACAAACACCGAAAAAAGAATGATTTATGACTAGTCATTATTTTCCTGTTCAATTTCACCATCACCATCTTCAATTGTTGCATCTTGATACTGTTGATATTCCGAGATTAAATCATTCATATTTGATTCAGCTTCAGTAAATTCCATTTCATCCATACCTTCACCTAGAAAACAATAAGAGAAAAAAAGACATATGAGAGAAATTTATTGACGAATGTTTCTTACCAGGGAAATTGTAGTACGCACGAAAGGGAGAAAAAGTTGAGAGCAACTACTTTACAAAGATCTAACTATTTATGCAAAAGTTCAGCTTGTTTATAAAATGTACGTAAAGCAAACTTCGAGTAAAATTTTTTTTCAGTTTATTATACATGTTCGGATTCGGCTCATCGAGCTGATCATGAATATCACCTTCCCAGTCTGAAAAATCTTTTCACATGTCGAAAAACTCAAAATACTGGGACGATCTCAAAAACATGAAATTTTTTCCTTTTAAGGAACAGACTTGTAGATTTTTTCTCAAGTATCATGAAGACTGGAGCTTCCTATATTTGGATTCTTTATTCAAAACTGCATCTAGCCAAGGTACTCCCAAGTCTTCAAATCACAAAGTGGAATTCTGGCAAGATCCTAAACGCATATGAGTCAAGAATCACGCCCCTACTAGTTTTTTCTGTGGAGGGCTAGACATTTGATTCACACATCATTAGATAGGCGAGGTAATCAGCTTTAAAAATACATAGAGCTTTTCAAATTTTGTTTCATTGCTGGGAAAATTCATTTTTTCTAAATCAGAGGCGAAAACGCCGGAATTCTGTCTGTATTTCTCAATTTTTTCGATCAAAATTCAACTTCTGAACAACAAAAATATCATATTTGGAATCGTGATCAAAAACTGAGTCGATTGATACGTATTTCTATCCTACCCGACTACTTCAATTTTTTTTGAATTTTCACGTGGAAAAATTACCACCCAAAAATTGAAAATCCAACAAAAATTTCAAAATACAAATTAGCCGATTCAGTTTTTGATCACGATTCCGAATATGATATTTTTGTTGTTCAGAAGTTTTGATCAAGAAAATTGAGAAATACAGACAGAATTCCGATGTTTTCGCCTCTGATTTAGAAAAAATGACTTTTCTCAGCAATGAAACAAAATTTGAAAAGTTCTGCATATTTTTAAAGCTGGTTACCTGGCCTATCTAATGATGTATGAATCAAATGTCTAACCCTCCACACAAAAAACTAATAGGGTCGCGGTTCTTGACTCATATGCGTGCCGGGTATTGCCAAAATTCCACTTTGTGATTTGAAGACTTGGGAATACCTTGGCTAGATGCAGTTGTGAACAAAGAATCCAGATACAGTAAGTTCAAGTCTACGCGATACTTGAGAAAAAACCCACGAGCCTTTCCCTTAAAACGAAAAATTTCATGCTTTTGAGACCGTCCCAGTATTTTGAGTTTTTCGGCATGAAGAAAAGGTTTTTCAGATTGGGAAGGGGATATTCGTGATTAGCTCAATAAGCCGATTCCGAACATGTACAATAAACTTGAAAAAAATTTCACTCGACATTTACGTTACGTGCATCTTACTTATTCGTATAAATAATTTCCTTTTTAATAAAGTAAGTTTTTCGCCAGACGGAATAGTTTTATTCAGCTTTTTCCATTGGGTTGAATCGCTGAAGAAATTTCCTCTTCTTCTCTTATTGAAAAGCATGTCTAACTTAAACTAGCTTTCAACAAAATGGTTGTTTATGTTTCCGCGGAATATATAAGCGAAGTCGAACATACATTGTCGAACTGTAGGAGTTTCTTTAACTGAGTATAAGATCTCTGACAAGTATCGACATGGTAAATTTCTTAAAACTGAAACATCGCTAGTCAAAAGAGAAAATTTTTATTTGAAAAATTCGTCGGTTCACCTAGGAGTGCATCGGTTTTTTTCGTATTCAAAAATTCACAAGAAATGATTTATACTTTTGTAAAAACGAGTTGCAATATTTTTTTTTAAATGGCAGTTTTATAGCGAAAACATTTCTCTACAGGATGGTTTATAGTAGTTAGTTTTAAAGATTTTGGTTTCTTTAAAAAGCGTTTTTGATAGAGAGTTGTCTCAGTTAAAAATCGCAGTTATACGGCTTGTCCAAATCTAACGGTGTTACGTTTTTGATACACTTTTTCTCAATTATGTCGTAAAGTTTGAGAGCTAGAAAGTTCGTTCAAATACCATTCAACGCATCCCGTCATACTCTATGTATGCTATAAAAACGACCTTTTGTAGTTGAGATCTGGAGCTTCAAAAAAGATTTTTTCAACGCGTAACGCTATTACATAAAAGACCTAAAATTCGGAGTGCACTTCCTAAAGTTCTGATTTCCTGCAAAAGTTGTTCTCCAAATGAAATGCCCCTAGAGCAAGTTTTGTAGACCGTTGAACGAACTTTTTAGCGGTAAACAACATTTTCTACTAACTATTTTTACTCGCGTAAAAAAAGCAAAAAACCAAACGTAACACGGTTACACATTTTTTTGTCACACTATTTTAAGGCACACGTTCTTCAAACAACGTCATACTTATAGTTTGAGTACTTCTAGCCCTTCTGAAGATACTGCACTTGGAAGAAAAAGTTCCAAAAGCTACCTCAGGTTTTTAAATTGAGTCGAAAGTTCAGACTTGCAAGCAGCCCTTGTGCCTCGACTGAGAAATATTTTATATAACGACGAAAGGTTTCAGGAAAATTCTTTCTAAAAGGAAACAAAAAACTTCTAAAATACCTGCTGTATACTATCTTGTAGAAAAACGTTTGAAACTGCAGTTTTAAAAAAATATTGCAACTCGTTTTGACGAAAATACAAACCATTAATTATGAATGTTTGAAAAATATGAAAAAAAAACGCTGCACTGTTACTCTGTTCACCTTGGATAAGAATCTTACCAACTGAATTAAACGTCGTGTTTCTATCCTTCGTGGCATAGCGGTCGCAATGAGATATTTCGATTTGAGCATATTTAAAAGATGAGCTACATCTACCCCTTTAAACCGTTTTTATGACGTGGCTTTTCTCCGCGCTAAAACAGATTTTGTCAATAAGAACATGTCGGCTTATGTATCTTAAACACCGTTACAAATAATAAATAAAAGGAAAAACATCTGATTTTCTTAAAGAATAATTTTACATAATATTTTTTTTATCTCCGATATTTAATTTTCTTACTTCTCTTCTACTATTCTGTTTAAAAAGTTATTTCTCAACGTTTAGCTGAAAAATAGCTATTTGCTCTCGGATTTGAATCTTGCATATAAAAATCAAACATTATTTTTCAAAAAATATTAAACTTACCAGTATAACGAAATAAAAATGCTTTTCGTCGAAACATTGCGGTAAATTGTTCGGAAATACGTTTAAATATTTCTTGGATTGCAGTACTGTTACCTAAAAAAATAGACAATGTTAATTTATATAATAACATCAATTATAAATAATCTATTATTACAAACCGATAAATGTTGCTGATAATTTTAGTCCACGTGGTGGTATATCACAAACAGCTGTCTTTATATTATTTGGAATCCATTCAACAAAATAAGATGAATTTTTACTTTGTATATTCATTATTTGTTCATCAATTTCTCTCATTGATACTTGTCCACGAAATATTGTTGCAACTGTCAAATATCGTCCATGACGAGGATCACATGCTGTCATCATATTTTGACTGGAAAACATTTGTTGTGTTAAATCACTTACATTCAATGTACGATAATCTTGTAAACTACGTGAAGTAAGTGGTGCAAATCCAGACATAAAAAAATGAAGACGTGGAAATGGAACCATATTAACAGCGAGTTTACGTAGATCAGCATTCAATTGACCTATAAATAGAAAAAAAAACAAATAAAATAATACTGACAAGATTGCGAAGAACGTACCTGGAAATCTTAAACAGGTTGTTACACCGGACATAGCTAGAAGAAAAAAAAAGATGAGAAAATAATGTTTTAGTCATGATAAATAAACCTATAAAATACAAACCTGATGATACTAAATGATTTAAATCAGAATAGGATGGTGTTGTTAATTTCAATGTTCGAAAACAAATATCATAAAGGGCTTCGTTATCAATACAATATGTTTCATCAGTATTTTCAACGAGTTGATGTAATGATAATGTAGCATTATACGGTTCAACAACTGTATCCGATACTTTTGGTGATGGAAATACACTAAATGTATTCATAATTCTAAAAGAAAAATAAACAAAACAAAGTATAGAATTACATTGTTCAAAGAAAGCACAGTTCATACCTATCTGGAAATTCTTCACGAATTTTTGATAAAAGTAAAGTACCCATGCCACTACCAGTGCCTAAATAACAAAACTCATAAAATACACGAACAAAACTAAGATATGTTGGTTTATCGACGGTCGTGAAAGAAACGCTTAAACAGAGTAGAATATCAAAATCCAACGTTCTTAAAGCGTGGACATACATGAGATCACAATTTGAACTTTCTTTCAAGCTCATCACTCCAAGTCTTGAGTTTTAAGCAAGTGGTACTCTTTGACCGAGAGGTAAATTTCCATTGACACACTGACACCTTGAATAAGTTCACAATTAGAGAACAATCCGTAGTTCGAAACAAGGTTTCCGATTGTTTTTAATTAGGATGGGGAGATTTTATTGCAGTCTTTTTAAAAGTTGGCGGAGAGATTTTTCTAAACAAGTACAACATTTGTAAAGTAGGGTAAGAAAAGATTAGACAAATTTTAGGCACAACAAAATTCCAAAAATCTGGCAGACAGTGCCAGAATTTAGGGTGGAGATGTCCTCTACTTCCCCGCCTTAATCGGAAACTCTGGTGCGAAAGTCTTGGCACAAAATGTTCGTTCATTTTCCAAACATTTTTTAGCTACTGTTGAGAGTGAAAAGCAGTTAGTTAGAATCAAAATTGTGTGCTCTTTCTGAATATATGTTCAGACTTTTTTTCCTGGTTTAATGTTTAACTGTGAGCAAATTTTTAAAACAGTCAAAAATGAAGTCTGTACAGAATATTTTTGTATTTTCATTAAAACTTACTTGGAAACTCAAAACATGGAACATTCTGTAAAACAGCAGGTTTGTAGAGCAACGTTTTCTCCACATCAATTTTTTTTTTTTTTGTGTCTTTGGCAAAAATGTTTTAAATTTAGTGATTCGAAAGGGCAGGTTTTGAAAAACCGATTTTTCCACACAATGCAGCGTTACATAGAAAGTAGCTCTCAGAAAAACGTCTTACTAATATCGTTTTACTAATATCGAATATAAACTATAGGAAATCGTTTGCATCAAAAAATAAGGAACATTGGTATGTACGATAAAAAGCTTCTTTTTTCACTTTTTATCCAAGTGTCAATCTTATTCCAAAAACACGTGTCAAAACTGCAAGAGCTACTTACTAAAAGTAACATCGTAGTGCTTAACAAATATATTTCTCTATGCACAATAAGAGCTTTTGTATTCACAATTTAATCATCAAACTATCATTAACAAACGTGAGAACAAAATAAGGCAGAATCAGGAATCGTGAAAGTATTCGGCTATCTGATACGAAAAAAAGCTTTGATCCACTTAAAAGAGAACCTAATAAATTTTGTTTACATACCACCACCAAGTGAATGTGTTAATTGAAATCCTTGAAGGCAATCACATGCTTCCGCTTCTTTTCGAACAACATCCATAACTGATTCAATTAATTCTGCTCCTAAACACATACAAAAACAAAATAAAATCACCGGTAATAAGGCAAAATACAATTAGTGAATTAATCTCTTACCTTCTGTATAATGTCCAGTTGCCCAATTATTTCCAGCACCCGAATGACCTACAATATACATACGGACAATGGATTTTTCTTATAGTAACAATAAGGGAGATGAAAACTTACCAAAAACGAAATTATCTGGTCGAAATAAATGGCCATATGGACTGGCTCTAACAGCATCCATTGTTCCCGGTTCCAGATCAACAAGTACAGCTCGTGGTACATATTGCTGTCCTAGATGAACAATCAATATAAACAAGCGATTATCCAGGGTGACACAAACAGATCCAGATGTACTGACACCTGTTGAAAAATCGGAGCAAAATTAGAGAATCAATGAGAATATTTACCCTGTCCTTCGTTGTAATAAACATTAATTCGTTCCAATTGTAATGATGATGTTCCATGATAGTGGCCCGATGGATCAATTCCGTGTTCATCTGATACTACCTCCCAAAATTTTGATGCAATTTGATTACCACATTGTCCACATTGTAAATGTACAATTTCTCTCATATTTTTGGTTAACTATTTTGTAAAAGTAACAAATAAATCTAATGATACTGTAGTGTACGTATTTATTTCGATTTCAATGATTGTATCTTTTAGTCTGAGAAAAAAAGAAGAACATACGAACGCTATACTAAAGAAAAATTTATTTTTATTTTTTTTCATTATATGATTTTGTGGTAGAGAGAGAAGCGCCAGTCTGTGCAGGACGCCGTTCTTTGTTTCTAGTAATAGAGAAATAACGTGTGATATGAAAAAAAAACGAAGCAAAAATAAAGATAGACGTTTATATGTCATCGTAACAAAAAGAAAAATTCCCTTCGACTATAAGAAAAGGCTCTAGAAAATCAATCGTGTCCGAAAAAAAGCAGATGTTTTCGAATTTATACTCTCTGTTGACACAACAAGAAAAATAGGTTTAAAAGTAGAGAATATTGATCAATCTAAACAAGACGGACATTTATATACGGTGACTAATCTAGTTTTTTTCCAGATAGAAAAAGTGAATGAATCAGATGTGTTGATATTCTATAAAAGTGTAAAAAATAAAGTACTGAAATCTTGATATAATCTTCAATATTTAGTTTGTCGAGAATTCGACACGTTGATTGATATAAGTAAAAGTTCACATACTGTCCTCACTGCTCGACGATCAACTAGGTTGAAAAAGCTGAATCAAACTTCACTAAAATGTATTTGCTGCATGCTGATTCAAAGATGAAAATGCTTTGAAAATTTTTTTAGCACTGAATCAGTGATAAAGAAGAAAAAGCTTCATGTAAACCATAAAGATTTCTATACTGTTTTATTTGACTTACACGATCACAAAATAGTCCAGAACAGTGTTATATTATTGTGAACACAAGATATTTCTGTTACAGTCCAGCACGTTCCCTTTGTCTTTAGCATCATTTGGTTGGTTACTTGAGTCAGTTCTGAAAGTACTGATAAAAATATTCACTTCTTAATGAATAAAGAGCAAAAGAGAAGAAAAAAAAACTTTTTCCGGAGCCCATTCAAGTCTAATTCAATCCTGATAAAACTGCATAGCTGATTCAGTTATTTAGAACGAGGTGATCAATGACGAGTGTTAACAATACTTTATAATTCTTATATAAGCTATCTTGCCCAATTCTTATCGGAATCTGATAAGTTTATTATATTTCTTCATATAAGAATCCTATCAATTTCTTACGTATTTCCGTCGACTACTCCCTTATGTAATTCCTAGTGAATGTATTGAATTCAAGGTACATGGATAATGAATAAGCCTTTGCAGGATATCAATTTAGAGCGCTGGTCAACAATTTTTAGTATAAATACCGATTGGGTATCTAAAAATACTGACTAAGTATCCAGTCCTAGAGATTAAATCTTAAACAGGATTCCTATGGGAATCTTACAGAATATCTGCAAGAATGTTATAGGAATTTTATGAATTTCTTAATAAGGCAACCGATGGAAATGCATAGAATATTGATAAGAATCTTATATAAGAAACTGGTAAGATTCATATAAGAATCGTATAAGAATTTGTATTTGTAAGTCAAGTAGTCTATATTCTACTTTCTTACTATAATCTATTATTTGATAAGTGAATAAATTAATTTTCTTCCTATTTATTTAAATCTTAGCCCCAAATGGTAGTCTAAAGACGTGTCCTTATGGTCGACTGCTAGTAGACTGGGTTTACTTCTCCAAATTTATCATGACTATAGAAAGAGAATGAAGTTCGAAAAATAAAGTTGTCTCGACGTAAAAAATAGAGCAGTTCCAGTACTACTAATATGCATAAAAACTCCTTTCATATCTGTCTTAATGAAGTACTAGAAGGAGTCACAAAAGAACTTCCTGTACGGTTACTTACGTGACTCATCCTTCAACAGGAAGTAGTCAGACAAAGGAGTTTCGTAATTGATTACGACCGAGAATGTAATGAGTTGTTACTACAGGGTGCCCAAAAAATACGTTAACAAAATTAAAAACGAAAAGTTTTTATAAAAAAAACATTTCGCCAAATATTTGACATTTTTCGTAGCATTTTCTCTCCTCTTTCAGATACATTTTATATTTTTTCGTTAGCTCTATTCTACATCATTTTATAGATGAAATTATTCAAATCGAGAAATCATTGTGCGTTTTTTCCAAGGAAGAAGACAATCTGATATTGCTTGCTCACTGAATTTGTCGAGACAACTCGTCTCCAAAGCCATCAATGGTTACCAGGAAACGGGGAGCAACAGTGACCGACTTCTTGCATTTTGTAGGGCTTTTCGAACTTGCCAAAAAAGTGGAACAGAAAAAGTGTGTTTCTGTTTTTTGGTTCGCCCTGCGTTTTCGAACATTTTTTGTAGCATTTTTTCAGTTTGAATTCATCTATAAAATGATGTAAAATAGAGCTAACGAAAAAATTTAAAGTGTATCTGAAAGAGGAGAGACAATGCTACAAAAAATGTCAAATGCGAACCGAAAATTTGGCGAAATGCTTTTTATAAAAATTTTTCGTTTTTAATTTTGTCAACCTATTTTTTGGACACCCGATAGTAAAATACAAACCAGATATCGCAGTAAAATTCTGATAAAAAGTTAGATAATCCTTTATAGGAATTCATAGGATTTGATACGTTTTCTAGCGTAAGCTTTCCCGTGTATCGTAGGATCCCATACACTTCCTTCAGTTTGCATATAGGCAGACGCTTTAATTGAGGTAAGTAAAAGTCGTATGCTAACTTATCTAAATCTTAGGAATTTTTCTAAACTAATTATATATGATCTGTCTTACCGAAATCTGATCAGAATCTTATAAGATTCTTATATTCCTTCGTATAAGAATCTTATCAATAAATTACGCATTTTCATCGACTACCTTATATAGGATTCTTATAAGATTTACAAGATCTCTAGAATTGCCGTAAGTTCGATCGCTTAGGGAATTAGTGAAATGGTTACCTATTCAGAAATAATTAATTGAAAATCGGTTTAAATATGTAAAAATATGTTATTTAGGTATACCCTAAGTAAATACTTTTAGGGACTCATGCGTACCCAGTTACTAAGAATATCTCAACACAGTACCCCACAATGGGTATTTTTCCACAGAGCAGGCGGACATCTGGTTCTATGAGTTAAAAAATGATTATTTTCGCATAATATTGTCTTATTATGTGTCAAGTTTTTTTAATAAGTAAACAAAGTCAAATTCGAAAAAGAAATCTTTTCCGATAAAAAATCACTGAGAGGGATCCTTGCCATGAATTTACTCATGATCCCATGTACTCACGCGTGAGTACTCAAAAAGTACTCTGCTAGAAAAACCGGACGAGTACTCATACATTTTGAGTAATCAATGAGTACCCACACAAGTACTCAAGAGTGAGTAATGAGTACCGTGGGGACAACTTTGAGTACTCATACTAGAGTATTGTTGAATACGCATATAACTTTTGACAAAATACTTCTGAGTAGTGTTCATCTGGTATTTTTACATAGAGGAGTGGTCTCGGGCAGCCAGAGTTAGACTACAAGTTTATTCACTGACGAGTCCATCTCTGACTATATACAGAGAGACCGGGGAGAAAAATATCATATAAATATTCGATGTTTCGTTATTAAATTTTGCATTCTTTATATAGTTTCATTTTTGCAAAACAAAATGGTGAATAAATATTTTCTGAGTACTTACTGAGTAAAAATACTCAAAAGTTGTTAGTAGAACTTATATGAGTACTTATGGACGAATTAGGAGTAAAGTCGTACTCATAGTATGAATACGTTCACTAGGGTATGGTCTTTATATCCGATGGCTATGACTGTCATAAATAAAAACAAAATATAACGAAACTTTTTCATTCAAGCTCTTGCAACATCGTGAGAGGATTCACTCAAGCTCCTGAAATTTCTATTCCGAAGATCTTGAGTGGAACATTCCAAGATCTTGGGTACAAGAAGTTTCACTGGGAAGAATTGAATTTTCGAAAGTAACTAAAGAAGTAAAACTAGTATTTGTTCGAAGTAAAAAACAAGAGAGAGAGATAGAAAAAATGTATATATTAATGAATTATACACAGCATATGTATGTCAACCGTTTGCTTCATATCTAACTAAGCGCAAAAAAAAACAAAGAGTATATTGTTTTGACAGTCGATGTTGTTGAAATGATAATAGTATATGATGTAATTTTACATAAAGAGAAGTGTGTGTCACGAAAGCAAGTGCTTCCAACGAGTAATGGAAAAGTAGCATGTTTCCATAATGACTTAATAACTCAACAACTCGTCTTATTGTAGTCGAATACCTGAAACTTTCTATGAATATAGTGGATGTCGAGTACAGTTATGAAAAATAATTTCAGCCGTTAATTTATTGTTTCTACTTCTCAGAACCAATCAAACCTAGAGTGAAAACCAAGTAACAAATCATAAATAGCTTAATTGTCCGAAAAAACCAAAGAAATCCATCTCAACTCAATGGTTAAAAATGAATTCTCATACATCCTTCTCACTTAATAGCAAATAGTAGGTGAAAGTTCAAGCCCAGTATATGTATCGTCTAGGCAGACACATTTTCACAGTAACTTCTAAGCTTTACACATCTCTACAATTCTTCATTTAATTTTCCATGAAAAACAACACCGCATTTCCATGGGAAAAAGAATAACCATTCAAATCTATATATAGATAATAACTACTGAGAAATATATAAACATACTGATAATTAAGAATTTAGAGTGACAGTATAGATGAGAAGGAAATATACAAGATAAATTGATGAAAGACAGAACGATAATAAGTATATCACCAGAGAAAAACAAACTATTCACGTTGAATAATTAATTTAGATCATTTATACTGCAAAGAATCTCATTGTTTCTTTATTTTTTTTCTCATTTCAAGGTTTCACAAAGAACCATAAAGTGTAGAATGCAGACAGCCCATAACACGGTTTACAGTAAATCAGCAGATCATCAGCGAGTAATTAGTGAATTATTATTTGCATTTTTATCATGT